CATGCCAGCAGCTGTGACACCTCACGCACATTGACCACCCCGAACCTCCACCCAGCGTACGGTCACGCTCTGCCGTCTGGGGTACCGACCAGCCCCCTCCCGACGTCACCGCAGTCCGGTGCAACAAACACCACCTCACCTCGCGGGAGACCGGCAGGACCTGGCGGCGGGAGCACCTTCTCGTGCGCGGGTCTTCTCCTCCAGCGGTAGCACCACACTGCGGTCACGCCGACCCACTCAGAGGAGAGAGGCGGACATAAGCGTCACGCTTCAGCACAGCGCACAGTTTACGCCGTCACAGGCTTGCAGCGCACAGTTTACGCCGGCCCCAGGCTTACAGCGCACAGTTCAGGCCTCACGGCCTCAGGGCGACGCCGGCCGCGCACATCCGCAAGAAAAGAAAGGCAGCAGCACGCTGTGGTGACCTTGGCCGGTACGCAGGGGCACACGCACGCAGTAGGTCAGAGGTCACTTTCACGTCTGTCGTGATGTGCGGCACTTGACTCGGTCTCAAATGGGCGTCAGGTCATTGCTATCATGCCACAAAAATAATGATCATAATACATATTTGGCACAGAAAAGAGAGTATTTCATTTTCGAGGGAACATGATGGATGCTGCGAGGACTGTTCAAACATTTGTATAGGGTTTGGATTTAGATAGACAATTTGAGCATTTTCGATATCATTCCTCTCATTTCCGAGCCATGTGCACGCAAACACGTGCAGACTTTTTCGTGCCGCCCAAATGTAACTCACTCAGAGATGTATGACGTCATAGAAACGCCACACGAATTCCGCCTTCTAAATGGCCATACTGTGTTCAAGGTCGAGCGAATTTGACTTCTGATGTATCCGTGCCTGGTGTAAGTCAGCCCGAATCGTCACGTCACCGGACATAAATTGGCTTCCAATCTGCGATAAGACGCGCCCAGGTGGCCGGTTGTATACCCTTCGCTCGGGCGAGGGTCAATTTAACCTAACCTAATCAATTTTGCCCTCAGATCCCAGGAGCTAAGGGAGATAGAGACACCAGGTTCACAGGATGTCTTAAGCTGTACGTGAACTCACTTAGATCAAAGTTTGAGGTTCCTAGGTCATGGCCTGCGGGTCAAATAAGGCAAACAAAGTCAAATTCATGGTTTTTCTCGAAAGGGCTCCTAGAATGGAAATAACTGTTGTAAGCAAAATGCCACATGCTCATGTTAAGTCATAAACCTTTTTTGACCTTTTGAAGGTCATGATGACCAAAATCATACAAGACCACTCTGAGTTTTGCATTTGGATAAGCGATAAAGATTACGTTGGGCAGTATGTTCCTAAAAACGAAGTGTTGACCCGGGTCATTCTAGGCTAGTGACCTATTCTGACCTTTAAGAAGTCCATGGAAAGTGTAAAATGCAGCTCCTGAAATCAATAAATTAGAAATGAGCGCTAGAAGCGACCACATCCAGCAAGCTCTAGAGTAATAAAACAGGCCGGTTTCGACCTTGTTTTAACCTTCATACCTGACCTTAGGCAAATATAATTTGTTCATTCAATTGTTGTGTTGCCTAAGAAAAAATCTCAGAGATGTATGGCTTCGTATAACACACCGTTGTTGGATCAGATTGAACGATTCCCTAGAAATTTACTTCGCTGAAACCATGGCCTGACTTTGACCTGCCATGGGTCAGCGACCTTACAAGGTAGGTCTAACTTTTTGATGCCAGACGATCTGCTATTTAATTGCATACAGCTGTGCAGAATTTGGCGGCTACGCCGGACCGTTCGAAAACCATTCTGGAAAAACCTTCGGGGGGGGGGGGGTCAATTTGACCCCCACCCCAGAGCGTGTCAAATGCAAGTTTTAAACGAATAAGTTGAGCATCGAATCACGTGGCCAAAATGACGTATGGGGGAGCGTGTGCAAGGAATAGAGAATTTATGCTGTCAAGAGCACTCTTTGGCGCTTAAAAGCATACCAACAGTTACAAGCGAGTTTGTCCCTCACGTCTGATACTTCCCGCAATATCTTCAGATGGCAACAGCCTCTATAAGTAGACTGGAAATGATTTCATTGCAAATACGTTATTAATATGTGCTGGAAGCATCGAATTCTTGCGCACACAAAATATTCAGTATAATTTATTCAAAATGGCATGTTGACGCATTCCAAAACCAAGTCCAAGCACGCCTACCGTGGGCGTTACACACAACAGTCATCGGCCAATCCCAGTCTGTCTCGACCCTGTATGTGTCGTTATCGTAAACACGACAAACTTGGAATGTATTCCGAAAATATGCATCGCAATCGAATCGCTATCAACTTCAGGAGCGAGGTCATATAGTAGGCCATGATAAGGGTGTGGTGGCAACATTCCTCGTGTTGTGTGATCAATCAATTTCAGTTTAAAGCGTTAACACGCGCTCGGGCGAGAGTCAAACTGATCCCCCCTCCCGAAGGTTTTCTAGAGTGGTTTCCGCACGGCGCGGCGCAGCCACGCCAAATTTTGCATAGCTGTAGACAATTGAATAGCGGATCAGTTGGTATAGAAAATTAGATGTGCCTTGTAAGGTCGCTGACCTATGACAGGTCAAATACAGGCCATGGTTTCAGCGAAGGCAATTTCTAGGGAATCCTTTAATCTGGTCCAACAGCGGGGTGTTGGACGAATCCATACCTCTCTGAGATGCTTTCTTAGGCAACACAACAGTTAAATGAGCAAATCAAATTGGCCTAAGGTCAGTTATGAAGGTCACACCAAGGTCAAAACCAGCCTGTTTTGTTACTCTAGGGCTTGCTGTATGTGATAGTTTCTGGTGCTCATTTCGAATTTATTGATAGCAGGAACTGCATTATACATCTGTCATGGACTTCTCAGAGGTCAGAATATGTTATTGACCTAAAATGACCGAGGTCAACATTTTGTTTTAGGAACGTACTGCCTAGCGTAATCTTTGTCGCTTGGTGAAATGCAAAACTCAAAACAATTTTGTATGATTTTGGTCACCATGGCCTTAAAAAGTCAAACATGGTCACCGGCCTTGAATGAGCATGAGACCTTTTGCTTAGAAACGGTTATCTAGATTCTGGGGGCACTTTGGAGACCAACCTGGAACTTAACCTTGTTTGACCTTTTTTGACCCAAAGGTTATGACATAGGAATCTAAAACCTTGACCTAAGTGAGTTCACGTACAGGTCAACACACCCTGTAAATTGGGCGTGTCTAGCTTTCTTAGTTCCCGAGATCTCGGGGGGTGAAATTGACCCCCACCCGAGCGAAGGGTATCTAGCCGGCCACCCGGGCGCGTGTTAAGCCAGCGTGTCATTGCATAAACAAAACATGTCATATAAGTGACGCAATGACCTCCCATTTCATGCAGGTTGACAAACTGAACCCGGTCGAAAGCACTTTGCAGACGATTGAGGAGTCTTTCGGCCTTAGTTCGAGCACAATTGTCACGACAAACGACAACCACAGCATGTGAATTCAAGCCCTCCAACGCCTACTCGATGTCGCCGGTTCAAAACAACCGGTGTGTTGAGAACACCGCAGCTGGCGCTCTATCAGTGATCTGGTCCACGCTCGGACACCAGCACACCCTCCAGCGGCTGTGTGCTAAACGGGCGTCGACTCTCTGCTCCGCCACTGGCGTCGTGGCTGGCCCTCATCGCTGACGCTGTGACTGGCGCTCACTAGTGACGCTGTGACAGGCATTCACTGCTGGCGCTGCTGCTAAAGCTCACCACTGGTGCTGCGACTGGTGCTCACCGCTGGCGCTATGGCTGGCGCTCACTAGTGACGCTGTGACCGGCGCTCATTGCTGGCGCTGTGACTGGCGCTCACTGCTGGCGCTGCGACTGGCGCTGTGACTGGCGCTCATTAGTGACGCTGTGATTGGCGCTCACCGCTGGCGCTGCGACTGGCGCTCATCGCTGGCGCCCACTAGTGACGCTGTGGCTGGCGCTCACTGCTGGCGCTGTGGCGGGCGCTGTGGCTGGCGCTGTGGCTGGTGCTGTGGCTGGCGCTCACCGCTAGTGCTGTGGCTGACGGTGAGGTGCCTCCCTAGTCAGACCGTACGGCACCTTTGTGGCAGCCCTGACACCGCACACCGATCAGAGATGTATGAGCTTTTGATAAACGTTTTGTGTGCCACCACCATGTAGTGCCACGAATTGCCCAGTAGTTTAAACCAATGGAAGGGTGGAAGAGCACCAGCTTGAGCAGGTTAGATGCATTTGCCATACATATTTCAGTCAACACAATCCAGTAATAATCATACGGCTTACATGTCTCACATATGTGTAGATCCTGGCTCACTTCATTCACTTCACATCCAGCTCCCGTGAACCAGCTAACTCGCGGCCGCACCCGGCCAACCCTGCCCGAAGTCCCCGACCACTCTGGCCCGCACGCGTGACCTCGGTCAGGTCACGTGGTCCATGGCCCGGAGGCATGAGCACAGCCGGCCGCGCCGGTTAGACGCTAACAGGGGCTGCTGAATGTCGTTCCTTTACTGCCTTCACCTTTACATTATTAATGTCCTTTTACACATCTTAAAATGCATCCCACGAACTCAAAGAGATGTTACTTCGCGAATTTCAAGTCAGTAAGTAAGTGAGTCGGGGCGATGGCTGTGTTATTTTGATTATTGTAATAAATGTTGAAATGGTTTACAATGGGGTACCGAAACATAGCAAATAAATCTTACGAATGCGTGTGCTTTAACTATACCGGATGAAGCCTTAAAGTGACCTATACCTTAAGATCTCAGCTTAGATTTAGCAAACCCAGTGAAAGATAATATGTTTGAAATCCCGAAACCTCTAGACCAGGAGACACCCCGGATCGTGCCCATTATATCCTCGCTGATGTGCACATTTCCCTGCACGATTTGGTACAAGTGAACAAATTAATGTACTTGACTCAAAGATGATTTACTACTATGTCTAGTTGATGATACCTCTAGACGGACTACAATGGCCTCTAACGTGATTTTTTTCCCATACCAGCAGACCAAAAAGATGGCTTGCGAATACCGGATGAAGCGGATCTACCAGGGCAAAGTGAAGGCAGTCATCTTTGACTGGGCAGGTGAGGACCTACGGTAGCAAGTTGAGATGACCGTGCCTAACGTATTAAGAGGCGTGACAATCGGGATGTAGCCTGGGGGGGGGGGGGGGAGGGGGGCATAGGCTTATGGCCTCCACCAAAAGGCAATACGTTAACGCTATGCACAAGTAATTTTGCAAGAGCTTAGCTGGAACTCGCAAAAGTTTGCCAAAAAATTTACATTTGCCCCCTCCCCATGTGCGGAAGTACCAGTGTGACAATGACCAGGCTCAGACTGATAACAAACCAGATGCAGCATGCTGCATTGGAGGATTATGTGGAAATAACACAGAACCTCAAAATAGTACTTCCCGTCATCTTTTTCGAAAGGAACAAGTTAACAACCCCCTCTTATAATTGAGCACCAGCTCGACACCTTCGTCATCTCACATATTGTAACTTGTAGACTCACCTAGAAAGACGTTCCAGGTTTATGATCCTAATGGCCGTACTGTGCAAGGTGCTGGATGGCGGTGATCAACACTCTTGCCGTCTGGTCTTGCAGGCACGGTGGTGGACACGGGTGTAATGGCGCCAGCCCTCACGTTCCGCTCCATCTTCGAGGAGGAGGGAGTGGAGGTCTCCGACGAAGAGGCCAGGGGGCCCATGGGCATGCACAAACGGGTGAGAGCATACTTGGTTCAGCCGGCTGCAGCCTTTTCCCATGTTTATCACATTCATCTACTTATTTTGGCAGTTTTGAAAGTGATTTATACTGTGAATCATCGCCATACGTCACGCAACTTCACCTTTCACCGTGATCCATCCTTGTCACACCTGGTACCAATCTTCAAGAAGAGCTTGACGACTTCGTGTTTCACGAATTCGATGTGCACACGAACCTACTTTCGTGTACTCGTGTACTCATTGTACCGGTGTACTCATGAACGCATCGTGTACTCATTCCCAACACCTGCCCCCATGTCCGCTCGCCGGCATGGGCGACATGGACGCCTGCGGCCCGCAGCGCGCGTCATCGCCTCCGTCTACCGCGAGCTGAGTCCACACTCCACCCGGCAGACGCACATCGAGAAGATGCTGGAGATGGGCGGCGTGCGCTCCCGCTGGCTGGCCAAGTTCGGCCGCGCGCCCAACGACGACGACGTCGACCGCATGTACGCCAAGTTCGTGCCCAAGAACATCGAGGCGCTGGCGAAGCACGTGGACGTGATCACGGGCGTGCCGCAGGTGGTGGCGGCGCTGCGCGAGCGCGGCGTCAAGATAGGCTCCAGCACTGGCTTTGTCCGGCCCATCCTCGACAAGCTGATGGTGAGCGGCGACTGGGGCTGAGGGTAAGCTGCGAATGGTGCCGGTGGTGAGATGCGGCTGGTGCTGGTGGTGATGCTGATGGTGAGCTGTAACTGGTCCTGATGATGAAATACGGCTGATCCTCAGTGTGAGTTGCGGCTGGTACTGAAGGTGAGCTGCGGCTGATGATGGCAGTGAGCTGGAGCTGCTGCCCGAGGTGGGGGAGATTGAAGCAAGACTAGGGTGTTGATATTTAATGCTATCGGAATGTCACAAATACATGATCACGGATTCATAGCACACTCACAGAGACACTTTTGCCAGCAATATGATTTAGGCGGGAATGACACTGCAGCTACCATCATGGCCCGAAATACTTGAGCCGGTGTCCTTCGAGGGCCTGCAGTCAATCACTAGTGCGATTCCGTGCAGGACTTCCCCGGTGTCCTCGGAGCTCTATGTTAGTTACCAATCATTGAAATCGGTGGCAAGAGGCGCTTTTTGAACCCATTGATCGCAAGTCCGCCAGCATTTCCAAACTTTCGGGTAACAATTATCTTCGGACAACGACTTGATGTCCCAGAGAACCGCTAGGTCGGGTAGCTCGGAGAGGTCCCATCGGATTTATTCCAACAGCGACATTTTGCGGCCGCTTGATTGAGACCGTGTTGGCCGTCAGTTAAAAGAAACCGACTGAGGGTTGAAACCGTCGCCGATGGAAAGTGCATCGCAGAGTGATCACTAAGCTTGGTTCGACCGAGAGCTGCTGCTTTACTAGAGGTGACGATGTTCTTGGCTCTGCTGGAGGGTCGCTTCGAAGGTGAAGGCTTGGCCGGGAGATGCAGGTCATTTCAGTCCATCTCCCTCACCCAGACATCGCCTTGGGAATTCGATACACTGTCTCTAGGCTTTTGGGCGGCTTTGCATGTTTTTTGAGCAACGTCGCCTAGTTAATGCGCTTAGAAAATGCTTTCTAGTCGTTTTGGTGAACACTGACGTCCGCCGGCAAGTTTCTCTCCATGCTTCTATTCAGTGCGCGTCTCGGTTTCGCCGCCCGTGTTTCGGGCAGTCTTCACCACAGTACCACCTATTGAGTGACGGGACGTCAGAACCTGAGTTCCTCGAATGTTGTAAGGCTTAGAGAATGTCCATGGTGCCCAACAACCAGAGCTTTGGCGAGAGTTCGAAGAACTGCAATGCTTGTGGGGCTCATGAATGTTCGTGATGTGTTGCGTTTATATGCCATTGTCCAACCTTTTAAAACCCTTCCACCTTAAATCCAGTGCGCTCACACATGGGAGCTACCATGAAATGCAGGTCATTTTTGCCCGATCCAGATGATATCTCGTGAAAAACTTGCCAGTATTTTCAAACCGGCCTAACATATCAAGGAGTCGCAATAACGTAAGAATCTGAAAACTATGGGGTACAAAATGAGTGTGGAACTTAATGTGATGTCTTCAGGCACATGCACAGTTTCCCAGAATTACAGAAACATTTTCAACATATCTCCGTGCCGCCAGCCCATCGCCAGCCGGTTGGCTACACCCCGGACGAGACCGTGACGTTCAGACGCTGTCTCCGTGCCGCCAGCCCATCGCCAGCCGGCTGGGCTACACCCCGGACGAGACCGTGACGTTCAGACGCCGTCTCCGTGCCGCCAGCCCATCGCCAGCCGGTTGGGCTACACCCCAAACGTGACCGTGACATTCAGACGCCGTCTCCGTGCCGCCAGCCCATCGCCAGCCGGTTGGGCTACACCCCGGACGTGACCGTGACGTCGGACGAGGTGCCGGCCGCACGCCCTCTGCCGCACATGGTCTGGCTCAACGCCATCCGGCTCAACGTCAGCGCCATCGAGGCCGTCGTCAAGGTGGACGACACAGTCGACGGCATCCGCGAGGGCCTGGCCGCCGGCTGCTGGACCGTCGGCGTCGTCAAAACCGTGAGCAGAGACATCTCGCGAGCAGCAGACGAAGTGCAGTTTTGTAAGAGATGGCATGCGTTGCACGCGGGAGTCAAGGCTCCGGTGCAAGCAGACTAAATGGATAAAACCTCGCAGAGTTACATGCCATTCATTGGATATTTCCTCGAATTCCATCCAGCTGCCCTACAAAAGAAGACATAAGTTAGGGGTAGCAGAACCACTCATGCTTAGTACCCGTGCTTGCAGCAACAGCCACATGCCACCGGTACGTGAACACGCGTTTTTAAGCTGATGTGAGATGTGGAGAGGTGCGGAGACTATGTTCAAGTTCGGGGAAACAAACTCAAAAATGTCAACATGGGTCCCCTAAGATCAGAAAGTTGGCCCTATACAGCTCAGAATGGGTCGCATGAGGATCAGAGTGGGCCTTCTGCAGGACAAACTAGGCCCGCGGCAGTCAGTAATGGACCCTTTACAGTTACAATACAGTACTTTACAGTTTAGGATGGGCCCACTACAGGTCAGAATGGGGCTTCTACAGGTCATAATAGGGCCTCGTTAGGCCAGAATGGGCTCTTCACACACCAATACGGGCCATCTACATGCCTGAATGAGCCCCTCTACAAGCTAGAGCGGGCCCTTCATAGTCAATAATGAGCCTTTTACACGTCAGAATAGGCCCTCTACAGGCCCAGGAATGCCCTCAGAATAGATGGTCAGGATGGATCCGAAAAAGGGCAGATTTAGCCCTCGACAGATCAGAATGGACTTCTACGGGCTTACACAAACCCTTCACAGTTCAGAATCGGCCCTCCACATGCTTGACCGGGCCCTCTACAAGATCTCCAAGTTGGCGACCACCAGCTCCAGTTTTCTTGCTGGGGGAGGGACAAGCTGCCCCCACTATCCCTTCGATTGCTGCGTCCTTGAAGAGGCGATGCCCTCTCGTTGAATGAATGGGCGTTTGCATACCGGGAAATGATGTAAGACATGACATTGCCGAGTGAGAGCCAAGCGTGTATCTTGTCCGTGTATATAATGCATAATATATTGGCAGTGCTGCAAGGTGAGTACATATATACCTTTAATTAAAACACTGCAATGCCACACGTAACTTGTCGTTAACAGTACTACCCACCTTAATGTTTATTCGTGCAAGCGTAGACAAATAAGTTGAACGTGCAGGCGTCGGGAGTGGCATGCTCCTAAACACCATGCCACCAGGAAATTTACTCCGAAACATTGCCTTCTGGCGGATCGTGTCTCGAGCCAGCAGTTCATAGCAGCTTTGCTCTATGAAAGGTTCGTGGGTCGGCTGCCTTGTGACGCGGTTGGTGGCGTCCCTTGACGCGCCCTCTCTACTCCGCTCCGCCCCAGGGTAACTACGTGGGCGCGTCGGCGCCACAGCTGGCTGTGATGCCGCAGCCGGAGCTGAAGCGGAGGATGGCGCGAGGCTATGAAATCATGACCGACTGCGGCTGCCATTACGTCATTGACGCCGTGGCAGACCTGCTGCCCGTCATCGATGACATCGAGCGCCGCCTGGCGGCCGGCGAGAAGCCCTGAGGGCGAACCCCGACTCTGGTCGCAGTGTAATCAGCGTCGGCCAGGTGCCATGGTGCTGCCTCTGATGAGAAACTCTAGTGCTGGGCCGATAGGAATCCGAATCATCAACCACCAGGAAACTAATAAAAAGACGCTGAAAACAATGCGTTTAACTTGGAACCATAACTGCGCTGACAACGAATCAGTTCGTCTTTGACGTCATAGTAGCCGCTGTCGTCATGCAGGTAGCTTTCCTTTTTCGGTTTTGGCCGCTAGATTTTCAGTGGCTTACCCGTTCGTCCCTGTGAAGTACTGCACATGAATGCCTGTCTGATGATACCAGAATGCCGTCACCAACATAAGCAGTTTGACACGTTTAGCTGTCTTTGCAACGCAAGCGGCAACGGTGAACAGGCTTTTCAAGCTACGAATTTGCGACTGTCTCGTTGTAGGAGTTGATTTAAGGCTTAGTGGGCCAGGGCTTCGTGTAGAAAATAGACAGTCTGAAAAAATGTCGGTTAGTCGGGTCAGTGTTAAATACAGTCTGAAGAAAAGGTTTTCCAGAACGGAAACGGGATAAAGAAGCACCAGAGAGGTGCATATCCACTCCATCCAGCTGTCGGTAGCCAATCTTTTCTCTGGCTCCGCGCCAGTACAGACTTAAGTGCTGGCTGCACCGCCTGGGGCCGGCGTAAAAAACGAACAAACTCAGCTCTTCCCAGAATTGATGTGGCCTCGATATGAGAGCGTTATGCAACATGTCGAGCCAAGCGGGCACTCTCCAAACCTCCAGGGCAGCCACGGCTTCGATTGGACAGTCATATAAACGCTGTGATGTCGCTGACACCTGGCCTCCTTCCCATCAGCACGAGCTGCCGCTGGCTAGGCTATCCCGAAGAGACGGCAAGCCACCCGAAGTACCAAAGGAAATAATAACGGCCAGAAAGGAAATGTCAGTTCAATAAGCGCCTACAGGTTAACGTCAATGCGTGATAAAAATTATTTGTCGAGTTCATGCTGTATCGGCCAATGATGATGGCCGGCAAAAAAAGAACACAGGCCGACGGAATAAGCCCTTGAACGCAAGCGCTTTTAGTGCCACCTGACGGGAAAACGACGAACGAAGCCAGTATGTCGACATAGGTGGCGCTTGGTGAAGGGTAGAGGGTCGGGCGAGCTGCCTGACCTTTGGATTTGGGCTTGTCGTTACTGCCCAATACAAGTAGGGCCGGCTGTGGGATGAGGTGGTGCAAAGTTAGCTAGCACAGACTATCTACTATAAGCGGCCGTAGCCTGCCAAATCTACCAGTGTCGCACCCAAGACAAGTATTATCGGCTGTGGGCTGAGGTGGTGCAAAGTTAACTAGCATAGACTAACTTCTATAAGCGGCCACAGCCTGCCAAATGTACCAGCGTCGTACCCAAGACAAGTATTATCGGCTGTGGGATGAGGGGTGCAAATTTAACTAGCATAGACTAACTTCTATAAGCGGCCACAGCCTGCCAAATCTACCAGTGTCGCACCCAAGACAAGTATTATCGGCTGTGGGATGAGGTGGTGCAATGTTAACGAGCATAAACTAACTACTTGGTAATTGGCGTGTCTGTGCAGATGATTCACAGGCAACATTTAGCGAGGGCTCAACAGCGTAAGGTTGCAAAGGAGGTCACATTTATCCAAGCAGAAATAAATGTATCGCACTTTCAACCACTGTGACACGAACATTAACTTGTCGTAAAGGATAACATTATCCTTACGGAGGTGCATGTCCATAACTTTGAACAAAATCCTGGTGCCACGTCTTGCGGTGCTACCCGACATTTTAATCTTATGGATGCTTGGACAGTGCACAAAGTGAGCAGAAGCATGGCAACGCAAGGCAAATATTAGAATAAGTGCTGGTGTGGAAGGTGAAATCCATCCACAAGAGGACAAACATACTATTGGTTGGGAATCCTAAATCCCGCCATGTCACTCATATATTTTTTTGTGAAAAGCCCCAAAAGGTTGGAAGCTTAAAGTTTCACTAAAGGCATAATTGTTTCTTCACTAATACATAATACAATAAGATAACTTCAATAACAATAACACAGACCAAAATGTGATGCTTATACCCGAACATTTCCATGCTTCGACCGCATGTGGCACATACTACATGAGGCAAGCTACACTTTGAGATAAAGCTGTCCTTCCAGATTACGGATCATAATTCCGGTATGTCTCCTGGAACATGAGGTAAGTACACCGACCAAGTCAAATAAGCCACCATTTGATTGCTGAAAATGAATATGGGCTTGGAATGCAACCGCATGATCTTTAGGCCGGAGTATATATTTTCTGGTAAATACATGCGATGAGTAAAACAATACGTAACACACTTAAATGGCATACCTATCAGAATAAATCATCATTGTTTGCATTGCTCTGCTCTTTGCGTGAGCACCACGCGGTTCTATGTTTCCTGGTAATCATCAAATCGAGCTTATTCTTGCGAGTAGCTACGAAACCGACGCTCACGATTCAGTACCAAAGGTGCGCCAATGAACACCGGCCAATAAAGTTGTAGAACTGCCTGGTGCACTGAGAAAGAAATTCAAATATACCTTGAACATGCAGCCAGAAACGACGTAGGAAGATTCAAAACAAAGGTGGCGAAAATGCGCGATGACAGCAACCATCCGTGAATAATTTTGTCTTAACATACGGCCAGACTTAGTTGTATATTTTCAGGCCATCCTGTTGTTAGCGTAGGAGTTTATCAGTGGTGAAAATATGAAGCAAATATGAGGACCAACTTAGCTATTCGATTGCAAACTGCTGTTATGCATGCACATGTTTACATTTGTACATCCTGCCAGAACATCCCGAGGACATTAGAGGCCCTGAGCATGGGCGAATGGGCCAAGATCGCTAGAAAGCCCTATCCCTCCCACACAATCAGCACCTTTAATGCTTTATGCAATTCTGGGTTTACGCCTCATTATGTTTAACCCTCGTCGATGCAAACCCCTAAGACGTTTTGAGTATACCTCTCCAGAATGCCGTGCAGTCGCGCCCAAATTTTCAGCAATCTTTGGAGCATCCATAGCGCGTGTTTTGACGCCAGAAGGGTGTTTCTAGCTTTTCTGGTTTCGGATCAGCGGCGGCTTTTCAGGGGCACTGCACAGCAATCTACGGCCCGAGCGGGCGGGCGGGCGAGCGGCGGCCGACAATGCCGCGGAGCGCGCGCGGCATACCGATATTACTACACCAATGAAGCTTTATATCATAAACATAAGCTCAAACCACATAAGATATACACTATGGTACTCAGAAGCAAAAAAAAAAAACACGTCTGTTAAGTTTTTACCGCCAAAAGTCATGAATTTTCTGGTAAATTAGACTTCTAACTTATTGTAACGGGATCAGTCATTAACCTAACAGTACGAAATCTAGTATCAATCGCGAGATCTCGTGGAAACCAATCAACCGGTGTTTTCCACTAAGCTTCATTTTCATTAGTTTGCAAGCACCAGAGGGTCGCATTTAAGTCCCCCCCCATATCAGCCCGTTATGTTCTGAAAAAGTTATGCAGTTATGAAAAACGGCAAATCAGGTCATGGATTAATAATGATGCTTGCTATATTTTGGCCCCTGCTGCCAGCTGAGACAGGTTATGTTCCCTCTTCCATTGTACATGTCTCCTCTGATGACTGCACAAACCATTGTGTATCTTTCCTGCCTGTGGATGCCATCAATTTCACCGAGAACATGTTTGGCAAAGAGAAATAAGCACGATGATTTTCTTGTTGATAAGTTGTGGATAATGTACGTGCGGTATATTTTAGAAGCTGATTGGTTCATTTATTCTGCTATGCAGTCTCGTTTACGTTGTTGACTTGGACATTTTGCTGTGGAGTAATAACAAAAATAGAAATGCCTTTTTTGATATTAATAAAAACTTAAATAACTTCGTAAATGTCATATGACAATTCCCCAACTCTCGCAGCCTTATCAACAGCATCCACCAAAAGGCTTGCGGGCCTTTAACTGACAGTGTGGGGGCGCGCGGGCACCAAAGTGGTGGAGCTAAATTCACAGCACGGTGCGAGACAAAGTTGCTGAGCCGACCGTGTAGGTGGCGACCATAGGTTACTGCGGCCTGACATACATCTTAATAAAACAAACCGAAATAATCACAGAGCTTGGTAAATCGTCTCTATGAATTGTCTGCCTTTTTGTTAAGGTAGTCTCCTGCTCGTTCTGGTTCAGTTATGGATCAATAACTACGATCATAATTATGAAAAATATGACTGCGTTATGATGTTACTAGAATGGTGCTCACGAAATGACCATTTAGCGATTTCTCAAATGGCCACGCTTGAACAGCTCAGCTTATGCACCGAGTGTGCCAAATACCAGAGGTCCACCAATGCGATCCATCAGAGCACCTAGGGGTCTCATGATAATCATGATTATTAGTGTAACGGCTGTGCCAGTGGCAGACCAACTAGGGACGCATGGAGACTTTTAAAACGTAATTTTTATCGTTGACAACATGTGTTAAGGCTCGTTATTCAAAGGTAAGTCGCGGCGGAAAGAAGCGGCTGGTGCCGTCAAATTGTAAGCCTTGTTGGTGTTTTTAGTACAGGACATGGGTTCTCTCTTCTTTCCGCTTTCTTTGATTACGCTTTTCCATCATCGGCCGGACGAGCCTTTTCTATACGGATGTTTTTGCGTTGTGTAAAGCCAAGTGTCAACAGGTGGTCGGACAAAACCACATTAATTCCACAATGGTTTAGAAATAAATTGCGCAGAAACACTGCGCGTCGCCAGCCGAAGTTGTTCACGAGTGAATATATGCATGGTCAGCATGATCGCTTGAAGCACTTCCCGAAATGTTTTAGCGTGCTGACGCGCAATCACCACCGGGTAAGGAGTGTCTCTGGACACATCAGGGGTAAACCCGGCGGCGCAATGCCGACATGTCGTTAAATGTGGACAGATCGGCTTGTTTACTTTTTATTCTTGTTGGGTTTGGTCGCTTCCTAATTGCAGCCACACACGCAGCCTGCCAGCATACACGTGAATGAGAAGATGAACGAATAAATGCTCGAAGGATGTGTGGATGAATGAACCGAGGGATTAAAAACGCTCCAAGTCCTGTTTCAGTTGACAGGACCGCGGCATGGTTCGCCGC